CCGCATGTAACTTAACTCATAACATCCTTGCTTTGAACGAGTTTGAATGTCCATACTGCGATAGAGCTCTCTAAGAGAAAACAAATGATATCTTGAACTTTGGAAACCCTCCATGCCAGTCACTATAAAGAGAAAAAAGGGGAAAAATATGGATTCGTGTTTTTCCCCCTTTTTTGACAAATAAATACCGTGACTGTATAACTATGTATCCAAATCTGACTTTTCAAATTTCTCGCTAAAAATGCGTGAAGCGCTGAAACCATTAGGTTTTTCTCCGATTTTTCGAAATATTTGATGCTGAGCATATAACTTGGTTTCAAGTAGCTGACCCAAGACCTCTTGCTGCATTTTGATTGAATTCATTCAATTGTAATAGCATGTTAGGTAGCACTCCTTCAGGCGAGTAACATCTCACTTCAAACCTCGCTGATGAAGAAACATGTTGCTGTTGTAAAACAACTTAGTAGTTAACTCTTAATAATGTAATTCCAACGAAATGTATATTTTAGAAGTTTACCTTCTCATCAATAATGCAGAAAGGATCCCTGTCCTAAGAATGAGACATCGGGGTCAAATATGCAATTTTAGCATTCATCGAAAGTGTATTCAAGCGTGTTTTTTGCTTCTGTACTAACTGATTAACCTAGGGTCCTGGATGGAATAGATTAATTTTGAACTCCGCTAGGGCCCTTTCCTCTTTTCAGCAATGCCACAGCGATTACTTAGAAAGGTTTGTTCAAACGGGATAATCTCCAAATTTTTGAGTTCATCATCTTTTTGCACCAAAATGGATGTAGCAGAGGCTTTCAAATCTTGCATTTGACGTAAAGGAACTTCATTGTAGTTATTGCCCTCTTAAATACTGCATTTTCGAATCACTGGAACAAATCGCTGCATGCGGATAGTTACGCTTGATAGAAGTTATTTTGGATTAGTTCTCATTTTTCACAAGTATACAAATCTGATGTAATTTTGGTCGTAGGCTCGTCAGCAAATTTTGCATAACAGCAATGCATACATACTTTTAATGCAAAAAACACAGTCAAATAGAATTCTATGTAAGTAGGCGATCACGTCAAAGAAGTCATTTGCAATCCGCTATTTGATCAATACAAAGAGTTTCAGCACAAAATCATTTGGAATTTTATTTACATTTTCTGTTTGGACAAATTTGACGCGCGCTTAACAT